CTGGTATTTTACTAATACAATTATTCTGCAGTTGTATTTGAATCATGATAATTTGAGGAGAAAAGAAAATTAAATGGAGCTCATTCAGAATGTTTTTCAAACCCCCCCCCCTTTTTTTCTAAGGGTTCGATAAGAATTCAACTTGAGTGTCCAGCTGATGTGAACGTAACGTTAGCAACATTAGCGGTTAGCCATGGTCGGATAACCACTGTTTTCTGGTCTCTGACACAATAAGCGAAGAGTTACACAAAAACTATAAAAAAAAAAAAGCTCTGTATTGACGCTAAATCATTTGGCAACTTCAGATGACCTACTTTGTTGTATAATTATCTGCTAATGAATGTGGAAGGACAGACTGACAAAGTATTTGTTCATTAAACATGACAGGAAGCACCGCCGGCCAGCAGCTCAGGGACCTTACCTAACCTTATCAATTCAAATAAGAAAGCATTTTTGAATAGATTTTAATATAACAGCAACAGCCCACATTGCAGCACCATCACTTTATTTAATTGCTCCAAAAAAGCTACCCACAGCTAAAGTCCATTTCTCTACTGGCTCATCTCAGCATTACTGCTCCAAATTTGACTAATGAAGAGATATGATGGACTTCAGGTTATTAATTCAAATCCAGCAGTGGCTTTGTGTTTCAGCCCGATGGAAGCTGCGGTACACAGACTCTTACAGATCAGGCAATGCTATGGTGCCAGGATGAGGATACCGTCCTGTCCTCACTACCTCCGGCAGAGAAGACATTTTCCTTGGTCAAAGAGGGAGTCAACTAGTGCTGCAACTCTACAGTCAACTGGAAAATAAAGGATCAAAATGAAAGACAAGGACATAAAAAAAATGTATTTCACTTTAGGTCAGTGGTTCCCAAAGTGGGGGGCCCCCTAATGGTAGAAATGAACTGACTTAATGACCCATTTTGAGTTTTTTTATTTTTTTATAAATCAATGTTAATGGTAAATTCTCTTACGTAGTAAAATAAACTATTTTGGTGCTAAAATAATTATTGTTGCGCCGATGCCATTTTTTGGCCCCGACACCGATATCCGATACCTGGTTGTGCAGTATCGGCCGATACCGATACCACCTGTTTGAAATTGATATGCGTGTGTATATATATAAAGAACTGCATACTACTTGGATGTAAAATAATTGCCATCACGGCTTTGTCAAGCTGCTGCCTACCTTTGTGAAGCAGGAAAAAACAAACAAATACAAAGTGAATCCAGTAGAACATTTTATTGCCTACCTGGTATAGGTGACAATAGTTTAATAATCTTTTGGCTCTCAAATCGGTATCTGTGCCCTATTTGTTGATACTTGCCGATACTGATACCACCATTTTAGTGCTGGATCTGGGCCCCGCCCGATATTGGTATCCGTACAACACTAAAAATAATTGAACTTCAATGGTGGCAGTATTTTTTTTATCTTAAGGAGATCATGGTAGTTGTTTTATTGCAATTATTGATTATTAACTTACTGAGGTTGACATTTCTTTGTTGAAAAAGGTCGCAGTGGGGATTATTGGGTAAACCAAAGAGAGGCCCAACGAGAAATGTTTGGGAAACACAGCTTTATGTTATTTGGGGGAGGAGGAACATGGAGCCGCTGTGTTGGCGTGTTGCTGGCAGACTGATCACAGATGCAGACTGCAAATTGTTTTGTGTTATACAGGAAATACGATTAGATTGTCATGAAAAAGTTGATTTATTTCAGCAATTCCACTCAGAAATTGCAATTAGTGTAATATATTACACACAGAGTGATATATTTCAAGTGTTAATTAAAGGTATAGGGGAGAATTTTCATGATTTTTTTGATAGACCCGTCGTCTCCACTTGAAAAAAAAAAAAGCATGCACATCCTTGTACCCGCTCCTGAGACAGAACGCCTATTAAACGCGTGTGAGAGCGTGCACAAGCTCATTTCTCCTCATGCACGCTCTGTTTAAAAGTTGCTGTTTGCATTGTTTATACAAGCTTACTTTCCAAAAGAAGATTTGTAATTTTTCCACTGTGTCAGACTTACCACCGGTAAGTGAAAATGACCAGATTGACAATTGGGAGGACCAATTATTTTGAAGATCCACCCGGAAAAAGAACATCTAACACTATTACTTTAAGTTTACAGTTAAACTTTGTTGTTTCTCAGATTTCATTTTTTTCCAAATTGCTATTTTTTTCAGATGTTATTTTGGAAATTTTAGTCTTTTAAACTCTTTTTCATGTTTTTTTCATATTATTATTTCCAAAATTTGTCCATCCTTTTTAAAAAAAAATTATTTTCCAGATCACATTCTCTTCACTTCTAGGGGCGGGCTTTATTCTGGAGTGAGGAGCGAAGACGCATTTTTATTGGTCAATGTGTGTGTGAAGCATTTGTTTTGGGTGTGAAGTCAAATGTGATTGATTCAGTCTGTAAAACTCAAACTGAAAAAGAGCAACCCCCCCCAAAAAAATATATAAAAAAAAATAATGAAAATTACTATGATAAAATAAAATCAGAGAAAACAGCAAAGTTAACCTAAGTATCTTTTTGTACTAAAGAAGTTCTCTCATTTTACATGTCTGTTTAGTGTGATGTAAACAGGGACTCAGAGTGGCGGTCAGTGGGAGTGGGGCTCCAACCCAGGATTGTAAAAATTCAAAATTGTAAAAAAAAAAAAGACATACTTGTGCTGACAGATCGTCTATGATCCACTAAGGGTTATGCAACTCGTAACGACCTGCTGTTTCAGCTTCATTGTTGATGAAGAAACTGATGTAATTACGCAGAAAATGACCAAACAGGAAGTTGGTGATGAACTCTGAAGTGTGTCCCGTTTTTTAACCTTAGTTCCAGTTATCCAGAAGTTAAGCAAACGTTTGATTAGGAAACAGTTGCTTAGATCCGTCCTGCTGCTGGTTCCTCACAAAGCGCTCAGAGTCAGTTAGGAATGTATGCGTTTTATTGGTCGACAGGGGGGTCGTTAGGGGTTTTGTTTTAGTAGGGGGGGGGGGGCTTAGAGACAAAAGGAGAAAAGCAGATGGAGAAAATGAGAGGGGGGGGGACATAAGGCGACTTTAACAGTAACCACAACCAGACGGGATGTGAGGGAGAGCTCCAGCGCGATGAAACCAACAGAGGAAAGGAGGGAGGGGAGGGGCAAAGGGAGGAGGGGAGTGAGGAATTTTTTCCTATACTGATGAATTTTTTTCCTCCCCCCATCTTAGGAAAGAGGGGGAAGCTTTATGTAATGGTCAGGATGCAATCAGCGAAGGAAAAAAAAAAATCACAAAGTGGCTTTTAAAACCAACCACAGCTATGCTGCCTTAAAGAACAAACGGCCCTGCCTTTCAGGACCCCCCCCCCCTTCCTCTCTTCCTCGTCCTCCCGCCTGACGACGGAGACGCGAACAAACGACAGGGAGGCTGACGGCAAACGGATTCATGTGATCGGTGGCGTGCTGGCTGTTAGTACGGCTCACACCCAGCCGAAGATCAGGGTGAGACCCCCAGCTCAGACCTCCACAGAGGGGTCCTGGAAACACTCCTTAAACGTCAGGCTCCATGTTTGTCTCATCTCATCCCACAATGTCTCATTTGCCAGCAGCACATTTCTGTCGTTCTTCCTGACCACACATTTAGCCAAGGAGTCCCCCGCATCTGGGGGAGGGAGATGGTCACTGAGCCCCACGGTTCAGAAACGACTTAAGTAAGAGTTTTACTTTGTGAAAAAGTGCTGAGAAGTCAGCCGGTAATCTAAGGAGTAAAATGGGGGATGGGGTTCAGGAAAAATATCGTAAAAGTCCTTAAAACCTTAACTGGCTTGGTACTAAAGGCGTCAGAGGGCCAGGAAACCCCCCCAACCTGGGTGACTCAGGAGGAATAATATGTTTCCAATGTTTCGGCTGTTTTCCTCTATCCAACATTGTGCTCAGCTCTTCCTACTTGAGCCGTGAATCTTTGCCAGAGATCAGAGCTGCTACTTTCCTTCAACAAAAAAAGGAAATGCGATCTTCGCGTCCACTATAGACTTTGTATGCAAAGCTGAGGCCCCAGGGGTTTAAAAAGCCTTCAGTAAGAACCCGGCATTACATAATCAGTGAATATAGATAAGTATTGATTTGTTTTTCATTTTATCCATTATAATATTAATTTCAGTTTCTTTCTATAGCGCCAATTCACAACACACATCATCTCAAGGCACTTTACAGTTCACCAGATCATCCAGTCAGATTCATTTATAGTTCTATCTAAGGAAAACCAGCTGATTGCATCGACTCATTGACTGGAAGGCAATCCCTCAAACCAAGCATGCTTGTAGCGACAGTGGAGAGGAAAAACTCCCTTTAACAGGAAGAAACCTCCAGCAGAACCAGGCTCAGTGTGAGCGGCCATCTGCTGAGGCCGACTGGGGTTCAAGGAGACAAAAGCAGAGATTTAAAAGATAGGATAAAGAAGGACCAAAGGGAAAAAAAGCAAGTAGGAAAGTTGTAACTCTTCAAGTTTGCAACCCTTCTTCAAGTTGGCAACCCAACCACGAACCCGTCCGTAGAGGATCATCAATCGGAAAGGTGAAATAACTTTTTTTTTCACTTTTACCCGATGTATTCTAACATCCAGCTGCCATGCACGTGGGCATTTTCAGTTTCACTATAGCTCTGGTGAATTTCAATGGTGAAGTCCTCTGGAAATCTTCAATAATTGTTGTTGATTGCAGATGTGTCTAGTAGTTCCCATTGATTTTGCTTGTAAAGCGGGGAGAATGGCGCTAGGCTTACTGCACCGTGACATCACTGCCGGAAGATGGCAGGAGTGAGAATTGTTTTTATTTTTTACTGAATAATGCGTGAATAACACCGCAAACGTATTAGTTTTAGGTATAAATAATGATCCATTGGTTATTCTTTGCTGAACTGACTTTTCCTTTAAAGCGAATATTTAGCAGCGTTTGATAGAGGAGATGTGGCGTGAGGATGGAAGCAGACATGCAGACGGCATACGTACAGGTGTAGAAGGAGGTGGGGGGCTGAGTTCCATTTAGCTGAACCTCCATCAGGCTGCTGATCTGGTGATCATGTCTCAACCAAAGGGCCACGCCCAAGATCAAACCTCCAACGAGCTGCAAGAGAAAACACAGGAAGCTTAGTGACAAAGCGCCAACTGATGAAATGATGAATGAATAAACAACTTCAGTTCAGACAATCCAGGGAAATGAATAATAATAATTGAACTTTATTGATCTCACACTGGAGAAATACACTCTCTGCATCTAACCCATCCCTTTATATGTAATATTAAGGAGGGATTTTTATTCCACTACCTTTGGAAGATAACATGTTTTAAAACTGGAAATAAATATATAAATAAATAAAAATACATAAATAAAATCTGATAAAAAAAAAAATCATAAAAAAGGAAAATAAAATGATACAATAAAATCTGACAAAACAGCAAAGTTACTTTCAACGCTTTTTTTTTAATTAGGAAGTTTTATTTCTGTATTTTTTCTTATTTTATTTCAAACATGTTCTTCGCTGCAACAATAACAGAAAAAAATAATCACTTCATATATTATTAATATGATATAAGTTTCATGTATTTTATAGGATATATGTGTTAAACTGATTATTGAGATAAGTTAGTAATTAAATCTTTAAACTGAGGATTAAACTGCAACTCAGACTCTAAAACCTTCCATTGGCTGAAAGATTTACCTCCAAACAGCAGTAATTAAAAATACAAACATATTGACGTTCGGACACGCAGAATCAGACGAAATGAGGAAAAAGATCCTGCTGTTGAATCAAAACCTAAACCCGTTCAGAATGAATCCGCCTTAATGGCGCCTTGGAGAGCGTCTATCGTGTCCATCTTTCTCACTAAAGGAAGTCACGAATGGGGGGGTGGTATAAGCATCATGGGAATATTCCCAGCGGGTCCAGACATTAGCCTTGTTAGTGAACAGATCTGAGGACTGGATCTGGCCACAGATGCACCAGACCTAAAAAAAAAACCTTAAAAAAATGCAAGATGGTGTTTTCTTTATAACATGGCGGACCCCAGCCTGCTGAGCATCACTGTCCTTTCAGCCTCTGCCTCAGTAGCTGATTCTTTAAAAGGCAGCTGCTGCTGCTTCCTGCTCCCTCAGCAGAGCTTCAGGTCTCTGTGAAGCTTCAGGTGTCCAGCCTCATGCCTCAGCTCATACAGCATCAGTCCCGGGACTGGTTATCCTCCCGCAGCAGTGAGCTTCTTTATTTTTGATTTATGCCCAATATTAAAGCGCGGTCTGCGCTGTTATTCCACACCACAAAGCAAGAGGGACAATCACAAACTCGCTGTGGGTGTAGATACGGCCGAGGTGGTGAGGAAGTGGAAAAACCCAAGGGGCAAGTTTGTGCGAAAACGGAGGAAGATGAGGGTGAAAAAAAACTGGTCTCCCCAGTCAATCAGCCGAATGGCGGCCCACTTCTCTGCAACTCCCAGCAAAATCCCCTCCAACTTCCAGCCACTGAAGTGACCCCCCCCTCTCGCTTGTTTTTTTACTCTGACTCCACCCTTTCACTAAATTACAGGGTCTGACCAGTAGATGGCGCTTCTCTTAAGATCTTAATGTCCATAAACCATGGCAGAATATTTTAGAAGAGCTGTTTAGTCTCATTCAAAGCTGATTCTTTTATTACAGCTAAAACGTGCAACACGGTAAAAACCATGAAGAGGGACTGGGACATGCACAGTGGCAGTACGCAGGCTTTTAGCTAAAGTAGCAGCCATTCAAAATGGCCCTTCCCAGTCAAAAGCCAGCTCAATGGCAGAAAAATCCACTCCAACTTCCAGCACTGACTCCACCCTTTCACTCAATTACAGGGTCTGACCAGTAGATGGCGCTTCTCTTAAGATCTTAATGTCCATAAATCATGGCAGAAGATTTTAGTACAAATATTGATGTTTAAAAAGGAAATGTATGGGAACAGCCAAGGACCATCCATTTATGATCCTTCAGTAGGTCTTCAGTAGCCTGATAATCCCAAACAACACATTTAAAAAATATAAAAAAGGCTTCTTAGGGACACTCATTACCTAAAGGAGTGAGATTTCTATCACTTAACATCCCATAGTAACTGCATTAAATCACATTCTTTTAATTTGCAATGGAAAAAATGAAAGAAGAAAAATATCCAAAATAAAATATTTCAACCATTTTATGAGTGTTTTATCATCCCTAACTTTAATTGAATTTTTAGACTGTAAATCTACGATTGAGTATTAGGACCTGGCTATGGATTTTTTTCTTCTATTTTGGAAATAAGGTCATAACATTACGAGAATAAAGTCGCAACGAGAACAGTCAAAAAATTTACAAGACTTTAGTCATAATATTACGAGAATAAAGTTGTAATATTATAAGAATAAAGTCGTAGTATTACGAGAATAAAGTCGTAACATTACGAGAATAAACTCGTAGCATTACGAGAATAAACTCGTAGAATTACGAGAACAAAGTCGTAACATTACGAGAACAAAGTCGTAACATTACGAGAATAAAGTCGTAACATTACGAGAATAAAGTCGTAACATTACGAGAACAAAGTCGTAACATTACGAGAATAAAGTCGTAGCATTACGAGAATAAAGTCGTAACATTACGAGAACAAAGTCGTAACATTACGAGAATAAAGTTGTAGCATTACGAGAATAAAGTCGTAACATTACGAGAATAAAGTCGTAACATTACGAGAATAAAGTTGTAGCATTACGAGAATAAAGTCGTACCATTACGAGAATAAAGTCGTAACATTACGAGAATAAAGTTGTAGCATTACGAGAATAAAGTCGTAACATTACGAGAATAAAGTTGTAGCATTACGAGAATAAAGTCGTAGCATTACGAGAATAAAGTCGTAACATTACGAGACTAAAGTCGTATCATTACGAGAATAAAGTTGTAACATTACGAGAATAAAGTCGTAACATTACGAGAACAAAGTCGTAACATTACGAGAATAAAGTCGTAGCATTACGAGAATAAAGTCGTAACATTACGAGAATAAAGTCGTAGCATTACGAGAATAAAGTCGTAACCTTACGAGAATAAAGTCGTAGCATTACCGTAACAACCCGTTTCAGAAAGAACGCTCCACCAATCAGCAACCTGAGTCCACTTTGACATTCTGCCCAATTAAATGCTGGTGCTAAAAGATTTCCTTATTTGTCAAACCAGAGCCAAAGTATAACTTCACATGATGCTCCACATTCCTCATTTTAGGGAAGAAAGTGCTTCTTGTAGGAGTTGTCATAAAATACAACTTGTTTCTTGTAATTTTAGGACTTTTATTATCTTAATAATACGACTTTATTTTCGTAAAGTTACGACTTTATTCTCGAAATAGAAGAAAAAAAATCTCATACTAGTACTGTAATACTCCGTTGTAGTAAATCAAAATTGTTATCATGACTAGAAATATAAGGCAACCATATGATAAATACACTAATAATACTAGTTTGGCTTTGATATGTTGATACTCCAAATATAAAAAAGCTGTTTAATGTAAATCAGTAACCAAAACTGTAGACACTTCCTTTTAAAATTTTATGTTCAGGTTTTATTTTTAGAGAGCTGCTCCTCCACCGACAGCAGAAGTGAGTCACAGCTGTACTTTCACAGCAGAGGTGAACCAAGGGACGACAGGGATGAGTTTGGTCTGTCAGCGAGGATGATGAAACCTTTTCCTTCTTCTAGGCGGCTGACCGCAGTTTCTGAGAATAGAGTTGAACCAAAACAGAAATCCCCTCCCCGTCCTCCGTCTCCATTACTGAGGTCCATTCCACGGCTCCTGCGAATTGCTGCCTAGCAACCAAATAAACAGCGTTCTGCAGGAGCTCCACACACACACCCAGAGCAACAGACACCCCGGTTTGACTCTGGGCTGGGCCGGGACCTTTTAACGCTCCGTTAGAGCGACCGCTTTGGAAGCTGAGGCATTCGCTTCCATTCCTCAACTCCTCGCTGACCGCTCCAACAACACACACACTGAAAAACACGTAGTCTGAGGGCTGATTGGGAAAAGTGGAAGAGAAACTAAGACCAGATGCCTTCAGATCTGTTCTCAGAGGATCCGTCTGGTGGGAACATGGAGACTTGGTTGTGTTGAGTGTGAGCAGATGTGGCGATTATCACCAAACAGAATCTACATTTGTAGAACGACTTAGGCCTGCATGCCACAGCTGAAACCCTTTCTACCCTTTCAGGGTAGGCTGAGGTCTCGAATTAGCTCCTAGAGCAGGGGTCACCAATTAAAAATGACCAGGGTCCAAATAAAGAAAACCAACCTGTAAAGGTCCGGAGAAATTTTTTTATTACAAACTGTTCATTTAAACAGATTTTAACACTTTTTTAAACATTTTAAAATCTAAAGTGTTTTTCTTAAGTAGAGAAAAACAATCTTTCAGTTTGGTTTATAGACAATTTCCTGATTAACTTATTTAATAAAAAACCTGAACTGACCGTTTGTTTTAATTCTTTCTTTTTTCTGTCTTAATGTTCGCAGTGGGCTTTATGCTGCCCTGCAAGGCTTTAAACCTGGTTTGAATGGAGACTAAGCCATTCTAAAGCACATATCAAGGTGCTCATTTTGAGCCTGGATCCATATTTATTTTTGATTCTGTTCATGGTGGAGAATCCTGCTTCACAGCAGCAGGTTGAACCAAACATCCTCTAAATGTTCAGGGTCATATTTGAGCACCATTTCACTTTTCTTTCATCAGTTCACCACAGTTCTTCCAGCAGTCCACACTTTCTCTGCTCTCTTTTTCTCATCATCTTCTCCTTCTTTCCCATCGCCCAGCTTGCCACAGGTTTGCCTGCTGTGTCTAAAAGTAGCAGCAGCAGCAACCCAGACTGATGCAGCTCATTGGATCATTTGGATCGGTTGTAGCCTGGTGACGGATGCTCTGGTGGGCTTTACCGTATTTACAGGAGAAGCGGAGCAAGTGAAATTAGACACTGCCATCAAACAACATGTGGTAATTTATAAATGTTTTAAATCAGGTTGGGTCTGGACCCAGAGAGCCGTCCACTAATCAAAGCCACAGGTTCCTTTGCTTTCCATTTAGAAAGCTGTG